GGTGGGGCAGCGATGGCGGCCGCTTCCAGGTCCACAGCGGAGTGGATCACCATCGTCGCCGACGCCTCGTGGTATGTTTCTTGGAGCACATACTTCTCGTTTGCTCCACCACAATTGCCCTGCAGTACGTTAATCTCCGGTTATCTCATAGAACATGTTCAGTTTGGTTTAAATTCGATTAAACCGGATTGGTAAAGAATTTCACGTACCCGGACGCGGAAGATGGATACGTGGTTTCCCGGATTAGGCCCTTTGGAAACCCGAACCCTTTCTTCGATTTCTCCGCTGTGGCGCATATGGTCCCATAGGTCCATATTTCGCGCATCGCACAGCAAACCGAATATTACATCAAGGAAAAAGAGTTTTTTTTCTTACCCGACAACATTTCAGATTATAACCACATGCCGTATAGTGTCCCCTATATGAGACACAGTCCCTCTTATCATCTTCGGGTCAATCCGAATCAATGAATTTGTTCAATCCTTTCCTTGTAAAGAGAAACACCCACACTGCAATGGAAGGGTAGTAGCAGAGTTTGCACAACCTCCCAATGCCCTAATCTGCAAGCTTCCATCAACGCCGTCAATAATTCCCCGAATTCAGAATCCGCACCGCTCTCAAGCAACAAAGAGAAATATCAAAGAAATACTCTGATTGGGCATCGGAAGACACGAAATTCTCCGCAATGGGAACGACGAGAGTGAAAGATTCGGAAAGGGAAAAAGGGGAAAGGAGCCTCGCTATGGCCTTTGGCGGCGATATTCAACGGAGAATTGCAATCAAGCAGCATGTTCGCCTCCACCATCACTCACCGTCGACCGACACCAATCCCTCACCGCGAGTTCCCCATTTCTCTCTCTCCCTCGTGCAGCGAACATTTCTTAATACTAGCATGCTACATTTGTCGATGAGCATATTCCGGGTTCGGTCGTGAAAAGACCGAAATGCCCCCAAGTTCTATATTATGGACTAATTCAGCACGGCGTCGTTCTCGATCTCTCCTAAACCTCTCCCCTAGACAGAAGCTTCACTCAGGACCATATCCTCGCGTGAATTAGGGCTTGAGGAAGATATTCATGAATAGTGAGTGCCATGGCTTTGTTGCATATCTCATATTTTTTTTTTCCTTTTTTATATTACCCATAAAAATCAGAAATTTTTTTGTCATTTTTCAAAATTAGATACACACTTGAATTAAATAAAAAAAATTAAATTTTGAAGTAACCCTAATATAAATCAGAGAGAAAATAAAAATCGACTTGACATTAAGTACATAAAATAACGACGAAGTTCGTAATAAACTAACAAACCGGACGAGCATGCACACTCACACTTAACCGACTAAACATAAACCGGACATAAACCGGACGAGGAATAGATTCTAATTCAGATTCTGCAGAGCATTGGCGCGAGAAAGAACGCGAAAGATCAGCCTTGAAGTATACTGATCCCAGAAGAGACCAATCTCATCTCCTTCTCTCAGATTTCTGCTGTTCACAAACTCTTTGTGCCAATTGCCGATGAACACATAGCTTCGAGTGATCCATCTCTTCAAGACAAGACGGTGCGTAAGCTCCGTGTCCAGGTCGAACACTTTGACGTAGATTCCTTGACCCTGGTCGAGCAAAGCCGATTCATGAGCCGGCAGATACGGCAGAATGTGAACCATTGCGGTCTTAGTCGGCAGAAGGAGACGGCACTGGTTTCCGACGTCGCTCTTCACGAGATGTTTCTTTATCTTCCAAGGATCCAGGAAGAGGGTTAGCTCGGTCCACACCTCTTGTGCATTTTCCACCACGCGATTCCTCGCCGGCCATGGTTTTAGGTTTCTTGCGGGGGAAGAAACCGCCGGACTGATCGTCCATGTTTTGTCCAGCAAACAAAGATCGGTATTTTAATATATATGCATTAGTAATGATAGAATTGGTTAAGTGTAAATTCTGTAGGACTAACAGATACCGTCCGAATAAGAATGTACGGAGACAAACTCCGTATAAAAAGATGTTCTATATGCCGGTATCGTATAGATTGAAGCGTTTGTATGAATCACAACAAACGGCTTCGCATATGAGATGGCATGCCTCGCATTCTGCCGTTGATGGAGAAATGCAACATCCATCGGATGCTTTGGCGTGGAAAAACTTCAACATGA